AATATCCAAGCATAAAACACTTCTGTGCTTTAGAGTCAAACTTGTTCAGATTATCTTTAGTATTCAAAATAAAACAAATACATCCAAAAGGATGGAAATAAGAAATGTTAGGCTTTCTATTCCTCCACAATTCATAAGGAGTCTTCTCCAGAAGAGGTCTTACAGACACTCTGTTCTGAATGTACCATACTGTGTTAATTGCCTCTGCCCAAAAATGTTTTGCCATATTAGTCTCGTTGATCATGGTTCTGGCCATTTCTTGCAATGTTCTATTCTTTTGTTCTACAACTCCATTCTGTTGAGGAGTTCTAGGACAAGAGAAATCATGTGCAATGTCATTTTCTTTAAAATATTTTTCAAAATATTTATTTTCAAATTCACCACCATGATCACTTCTGACTTTGATAATATTAAAATTCTTTTCAGTTTGGACTTGATTGCAGAAGTAAAAGAATATAGAATGTGACTCATCCTTGTGTTTCAGGAATTTTACCCATGTCCATCTACTATAGTCATCAACAATGACTAATCCATACTTCTTGCCTCTGATGGATGCAGTTTTCACTGGTCCAAACAAATCAATATGAAGCAGCTCTAATGGTCTAGAGATAGAAACAACATTTTTAGATTTGAAAGAAGATTTTGAAAATTTTCCTTTCTGACATGCTTCACAAAGAGCATCTGAGTTGAACTTCAACTTAGGAAGTCTTCTGACCAGATTGAGCTTGTTAATCTGAGATATACGTCTCATGCTAACATGACCCAATCTTCTATGCCAGGCCCATTGCTCATCATTAATAGACATAAGGCATTTTACATTTTGATTTTTCAGTTCTAAAAGATTTATCTTATACATGTTGTTCTTCCTTTTCCCATTAAAGAGGATTGAACCATCTTTTTGACTAACATCTTTACAACATTTTTGATTAAAGATTATATCATAACCATTGTCACTTAATTGACTTATGGACAATAGATTATGTGTTAATCCTTCAACAAGCAGAACATTAGAGATAGAAGGGAGGTTACCATTACCAATTGTTCCAGAGCCAATGATTTTTCCCTTTTGGTTCCCTCCAAACTTTACGTCTCCTCCAGATCTAAGTTCCAGGATTTGGAACATAGACCTTCTTCCCGTCATGTGTCGTGAGCAGCCAGAGTCCAGGTACCATGATTGGTGTCTTGACTTTGCTGCTAAGGACATCTGCAACATATATTATTTTATCCTTAGGTATCCATACCTTTTTGGGTCCTCTGGGTTAGTTGGTTTGAAGTTCTGCCTGAACTTCTTTTCCTTAAAAACTTTTCTGTTCTGATGAGGTTTTGGTTTAATAAAGCTTTTAGTAATCTGATCTGTGTGTGTGCTCTATGTCATTTAGGTGACCATATTTAAAATGAGTGTACAGAGGAATGTAGTTGATGATCAGCTTATCAACAGGTTTTGGATTTAAATCCTTCCCATAGGGTGATTCATATCCAACTCCCTTTCTGTTGTTCCTGCTAACACCATAGATCATGGAAGCCATTTTGCTTCTATCTAGGCCTCTGGACAGGAACTTCTAAAAACTATAATCATACTCTTCTAAAATGCTTTTAAAGCAAGACTTAGTATCTAAATCATATTTTTGTTGAGCTTTTTCTAAATCAGTTTTTATTTGAAAATTATTTGCTTTAAGCTCAGCATTTTCAGACTTCATCTGATCAGTCTCAGATGCAAGATAGCTCTTAAGCTTCTTGTATTTGAGTCTGATTTTACTATAGTTTTCAACCATCTCAGATAAGCTTTCAACTAACTCAGCTCTGGTAAGTTCAGAAAATACCTATTCTGAATCTGATTCTGATCCAGATTTAGATGTTTCTTTATGGTCTTCTATGTCAGCCATCAGTGCAACATTTGCACATTCGTCCTCTGACTCTGATGAGGCTTCAGAGTCATCTGAGTCATCCCATGTGGCCATCAGGACTTTTTTCTTTTTCTTAAGCTTCTTTCTAGGTTTCTCCTTCTGAAGTTTGGGGCATTCACTTTTGTAGTTTCCTGGCTCCTTACACTCAAAGCATATAACTTCTTTCTTGCCAGACCTTTTGTGTCCAGAAGATTCTCCACGCTGCTCTGGTCTTTTGAAGTTTCTGAACTTCTTTTGCTTATGCTTCCAGAGTTGATTTATTCTTCTGGAAAGCAAAGACAGTTCATCTTCATCTGAGGAAGATTCTCCAGAGCTTTCCTCAAGTACCTAAAAAGCTTTCGTGTCAGATTTTTTTATTAGATTTTAAAGCAATAGACTTACCTTTCTTCTGAGGCTCTTCTTCTTCCAGCTCTATCTCATGACTCCTTAAGGAACTGATGAGTTCCTCCAGAGTGATCTTGTTAAGATCCTTTGAGAGCTTCAACGCTGTGATCATGGGTCTCCACTTCTTTGGCAGACTTCTGATGATCTTCTTCACATGATCAAAAGTGGAGTATCCTTTGTCAAGGACCTTCAAACCAGCTGTCAGAATATGAAATCTTGAAAACATAGTTTCCACAGATTCTTCATCCTCCATCTTGAAGGCTTCATACTTCTGGATAAGCGCAAGAGCCTTTGTCTCCTTCACCTGAGAGTTTCCTTCATGTGTCATCTTTAATGACTCAAACATGTCAAATGTTGTTTCTCTGTTTATGATTTTCTCATACTCAGTATGAGATATAGCATTTAACATAATGGTTCTAGCTTTGTGATGATTTATGAAATCTCTCTTCTGTTGATCAGTCATTGACTTTCTGTCAATCTTTTTGCCCTCACCATCAGTGGGGTGAATGTATTCATCAATGACCAAATCCCATAGATCAGCATCATAGCCTAGAAATAAACTTTCTATTCTATCCTTCCAATAATCAAATTTTTCTCCATCAAACATTGGAGGCTTTGTGTTGATTCTATCTTTATCGTCATATTTGTTGTATGAAGTTGAAGTTGAAGCTTCATCCATAATATCAAGAATAATAGATCAAGAGTTTTCCCAACTGGATCTTTCTTTGTCACTGTTAAGTGGTAGCACTTTCAGAGCCGGAGTTCTGATACCAACTGAAGGTAGGAAAACGCTTAGAAGGGGGGTTGAATAAGGGGTTTTCAAAAACAATTATGACAATAGAAAATAACAAGTTATTTCTATCCTGGTTCGTTTGAACTCAAACTACTCCAGTCCACCCGGCCAAGGTGATTTCGCCTATCTCAAACGAGGACTTAATCCACTAAATCAAAGCTTGATTACAGTGATTTCCATTAAGACAATTGTCTTAGTCTTCTCAAGAATCCTGACCACAACTTGGTCTCTTAAGGAACTTTTACAAAGAGTAAATTACAAATGTGTTTAAGGTGCTTCTAAAAAGCCTTATCACAACTGTGATTTTTACACAAATGAAGAACAAATAAAACTTAGTGTTTTATGTAGAAAGTTGTTTGAATGTTTTCTTTGATTGCTTCTTTGAATTCTTTTCTTTTGAATTTCTTCTATCAATTGTTGAAGCAAATTGTTGTTTTCCCAAGTTGTTGTTGAAGTGTTGATGAAGACTTCTTTATATACCACACTTTCTCAATAGTGTGTAGAAGAAAGTACTGTAGGATGTAGACAGAAAGGAAAAATACTTTTCGTCTTGATTTGACATTCCCTTTTTGCCTGAAATCCTGTGTCATGCACGAATGAGAAATAGTACCGTTGGTAGACCTTGGGTTTAGCAACGTCTCTTTTCTTTGAACACTTCTTTTTCAAATGAACAAATATGAAAATAATTTGCATCAGATCCTCTGATGTTGTTCCTTGTTCTTCTTATCAGAGTCACTCTTTCAGAGTCTTGCAGCAAAGTGCTTAACGTGAATTATAATCAGAGTTGACTTGATTCAGAGCCTTTGTACTTGCAGCGTTTAGTTCTCAGAGTCTTCTGAATATTCTGAGTCTTTATACTCTGCGCTCAGAGTCTTCAGCTAGCGCTTCAGAGTCTTCTGGATCATGTTCAGAACTTTGCGTTATCATGTTCAGAGCTTTGCTTTAAATAATGTTCAGAAGAATTCTTTGTCTTCAGATGAATATTTTATCTGATATCTGAAACAAAAAAACAATTGAAAAAAATTAGAGTATATATTTTCTTATACAAAATTTCATTAATGTTATTATCAAAACATTGAGATATATTAAGAACCAATCTGTGTTATAACTATTGTTTCATACGTGTGTTTACTACTTCAATGTTTAGTTGATTACTGTTTGATGATAAACCAAACAGTTTTGTAAAACCTTATTGTGACTTGTATTTATTAAAAAAGCTTAAATGCATGGTTGCTAACATGTATAAAGAAAGCTGATTTCTAAAAAACCAATATCAGTTTTTTGTGAGTTGAGACCTAGCGACCAAGGTATATAATTAGAAACTCTTAGACTTAAAGATACAGTCTCTCTAATGTTGTTTTGTCTTTCTGTGTGCGTTGTTTGTTCAATTCAAATTAATAAATTAGTTTTGACTTAATATATATTAAGTCAATGACTTTAACGTCGTCAACGCTGCAGAGTCGAAAACATGTGTATTCCGATCATTTCAATTTTATCATAATGTATAAGTTTTGTCACATTTGTAACATTTTGCCATTATATATTATTAATATGGGTGTTGTGAGTTTGTTCACATAATTTTTTATTTTCAATTTATAATGATTTTGAATTTGTATTATTCAATATATTTTAATGAATGTGATTTTAATTAAAAAAACAATTAAAGTATACTACGTAATATGTTGACATTATTGCAATACATTATTAATGGAACATCAAAGAAGATATTTCAAACGAAAGCATTTCTCATTCATTGAAATATTCTTTTGACTTTTCATCTAATAGCACCGTGGTTTTATTACGTATTTGAATTATAAAGTATACAAATTTATTTATCCAAATTACATGTAACTCAAATATTAAATAGTGTCATACTATCATTTATTAATTACTATCAAACATTTTGTTAATTCTATGGTTTAAAGATAACCCTTTTTCTTGCAACATTCAATTGTATCCTCAAACATTTCTTCAATGCTATACTTGAACTTAAATCCAGCATCCATGATTTTCTTTGAGGTTAAATGTGGAAGCATAGGACCTTTATTTCCCCTAAGAACTCTATAGAAGAAGAAAATAAATTGAATAAAAATATTAGTAACATATATCACATAAATATAGTAAAGTTATTTACATGAAAAAGGACAATTAAATTTAATAAAAAAAAATAACTCACATGGATTTTGGAATTTGATATTCAGGGTATTTTGAAGAAATAATGTCAATTATTTCATCATAAGTTGCAATGAATGGTGAACAATTATATCTCCCTTTTGGATTAGAATTTTCAAGTAAAAATATATGTGCTCGTGCCACGTCATCAACATGCACCATATGCATACGAGATGCCATCAATGGAGTCTTGTCGATATCACCTGAATTCAACTTTCTTTAATTCAAATTTTGATTATTCAATATATTGGCATCTCGGAAGAAAAAGTCATAGTAAGAAACGTCAATTTTCATGAGGTTTTGAATAATCAATATGTAGCTGTGGAAATATTGAAAATCATTTAATGTTCATAAAGAAATTAATAGGATATGTACTGGTACATAAAATGATGAACCTTGCTTGTATTAAAAAAAGATTTCTTCAAGTAAAATATTTGAATCACCAACAATTATATATTTTTAAAACTTTTAAATCAACATAGTAGCAAAGTCTTAAACAAAAAAAGCACTTACCAAACAAGAAAGGCACTGAAGCATAAACAGAACCAGGAAGCTTAGGGCAAATGAAGGGTCCAACAACAAAAGATGGTATAAGAGTCACAATATCCAACCCATTTTCTTGTCCGAATTCAAGAACAGCTTTCTCAGCTAGAGTCTTAGAAACGGCATATGACCAACCAAATGGCTTCAATTTTTTAAGAAAATTCACATCACTCCAATAACTTTCGTCCATTACATCTTTTTCTTTTTCTTGATAATAAACCGCAGAACCACTTGATGTGTAAACAACTCTCTTCACTGTCTTTGAGTTTTTGCATGCTTTTAGAATTCCTAATGCTCCGTCAATGGTTCTTTTTGTCACTATTTCTTCCGGTTCGGTCTCTAGGAAATCCATTGGAGTTGCAGTGTGAAATATTCCAACACACCCTTCAATTGCTGCAGTAAAGCTTTCTGGATCGCTAAGATCAGCATTGAAAATTTTTAGCTTTTTTGATGCTCCTGGAAGATTTGTGAGGAAGCTAACATCTTTCTTCTGCCCTGTTATTCACATAATTTAATAAAAAATATAATAATAATAATAATCAAGATTTACGCAAATACAGCCGCAACAAAAATAGAACCAGAAGGTGCCAATAGTAATAAAAATCACATGTAACAACCCTATACCTGGACTAGATCTAACCGTGGTATTAACGGTGTAACCATTTTGAAGGAGAGTCTTGATGATCCATGAACCAATAAAACCAGTACCTCCTGTTACACAAACTCTTCCTTTTCCTTCTGCCATTATCACACTTTTCTTGCAAAATATTTTTTCACTCTTATGTTTTGTTTTAGTTAGTTTTGTATGAATGTTGATGTTCATATATATATATATAGACACATAATGTTGTTGGTTTACACTTTCTGTGGGTATACTAATTCTTCTAAATACTGTAATGTTAACTGGGAAAATGTGGTATAAAAAAAATGTATTCTAGAAGTTGAATTTATACTTGGTCAAATAAAAGTGGGAGATGTTATTTCTGTGTACGAATTACTTTTAGTTTCTTTTCTAAATAAATAAACTTGTCAAACTTGATAATATGAATTTATTTTGAATGAATTCAGTGTAAAATATCTCTCCCGTTATTATTGTAAACAAACAAAAAATAATAATTTATTAATTTATTTATACATGTCATTTATGCATAGATCAGATTAAATAAAACCTAAAAATAAATGTTTGTTGATAATAATGATAAGACAAAACGAAAGTATATATATTTTTTATAAGCTAAGATTAATATTCGATTTACAACTAACATTTACAAAGATTTAAGCGAGCCTTACAATAAATCAAGAGGATATGAATATCATTCATAAAAATTACAAGTCGTTTTGCTTAAAATCCACCACTAACAATATTTTTTATAATATTAATTAATTAATTTATATATAAATATATATATATATATATATATATATATATATATATATATATATATATATATATATATATATATATATATATATATATATATATATATATATATATATATATATATATATATATATATATATATATATATATATATATATATATATATATATATATATATATATATAATCAAATATTTTTATGCGAAATTTTTATAATTGATTAGTAGAATTTTTATTTTACATTAGCATCAGCATTGCATAACAATTAAATTTTGATATTGTTAAACAAAAAATTCAATATGATTTTTCAACTTTTTTAATAACTGGGAGACTTTGAACATACATATGCATGACTCATAGCACAATCTTTGACTAAAAAAATACTATTGAAAAAGAAAATTAATGCAAGAGAGATTTTCATTCAAATAATTTATTATATATCCATTTAGAGTAGTTACAATCAAAGATTTGTTCTCTATGAAATCTTTAGAAAATGTATTTAAAACATACAAAAGCGACTTATTGCACCTTGTTTTCCATGACGGTGTTAAAATGATTCTTCTCGTGAGACATATGTGAGCATGAGAGGAACCGTTTCTTTTATTTATTTTGTTTTAACTTAAAAAAATAAAACGAGCCTTTATTAACTAACTAGTTACTCGAACTATTCTATCAATTAAATTGACTAGTAGTTAGAGTAATTAATTTCACTGATTACTAATTAGAATAACAAACTTTCCTAACTAGTAGGAAAGCTGGGGAAAAAATAATTATCCTAAAATAAAGTAATTTAGAGAAATAAAAGTAAAATAGTAATTATAATATGTTAATATGTAAGACACCCCAGAAGCTAGACTATGGAGGTTGAGTAGACTAAGCTTTGAACCCTAATTTTTTTAGATTTTATCAATGGAGTTTTAATATTTTAATAAAAAATTTGTTAACTGTATCATATTAATTTAAGTAGTTTCTCTATTTTATTAATTTTGATTTAAGTAGTTTCTCTATTTTATTAATTTTGTCAGTTTAAAATTTTGTAGATATTTCTAGATACAGAAGAATTTAAAATTATTATTATTAAAAGAAATAAATAATTAAGGTATTAAACATAATTTTCAATTCTATAAAATTATTTATTTTATATAGTGAAACGAACCTAGAATGTTGAATATAGTTGTGTATTAAATTTTGAAATCTTTTAATTTTAGAAATATATTATATTTCAGTTATATATTTCAACTGAATATATATATATATATATATATATATATATATATATATATATATATATATATATATATATATATATATATATATATATATATATATATATATATATATATATATATATATATATATATATATATATAGTAATGAGAAGATAGCATTGTGCGGTTGAGATTTATACGTAGGTTCTGTTTTCTCAATATCGAATATTTAGGGTTTTGTTGCAACAAAGTAGGGGAAAACGATTTTAAATTGTTCTGATTTTCTCAACTGTTTCCTCTATTTATTTCTCATTCATAGTTTGTTTTTGAATTCTCTCATTAGTTTTTGTTTTGAGTACAAGCTCTCACAGATAGACACTTTTTGCGATCACTTGTTTTAGGGTTTAACCATGGATGAATATCATTGTGATGTATACGAAGATTACTCTTCTGAATTTGATCGAAACAAAATTTCGTCTTCAGCTATCACAGAAAGAAATTTTAAGGTTGAGTTTAATTGCAAGAATATGCATGTTTTGAGTGCGAGGAGGTTTAGAACTGTTGAAGTTACAAAGTGTCACACTTTTTCACATGTCACAAAGGATAAGATGATTCAAAACACAACTATTCTATCCTGGCTTTCTCAAATGGATATACCTCAAGATGCTTATTGGGTCGTAGAGGAGAAAATTTTAGAATGTTTAGGCCATATGGCGAAAACGACTCATAAGAATTCAAGGGTTTTTTCTATTCGAGTTGATATTTGTATTACAAGAGCTAGCGAAGATGAAGGTAGTGAAAGTGATGGAGAAGGCTATGAAATTAATAAAAGTGATGAAGATAGCAGTGATGAGGATATTGATGAAGATATTGAGTTTGTTCCTGCGGAGAAATCGTGTATTGAAGATTTAGAGAGAGTTGAAAAAGAAGGAAAATGTAGTATTTGTTTTGAAGATTTTAATGTTTGTCTTGTTATGCCATGTTCGCATATGTTTCATCAAAAATGTATAAGCGATTGGTTGAAGATAGGTCATTCATGTCCTTTATGTAGGTTTGACTTGCCTACTTGAATAATGTTAGATTTTATCAATGGAGTTTTAATATTTTTTATAAAAAGTTTGTGTCAATTGTTTCATATGAATTTTAGAGTGATTTGTTGATGTGTTTTTTTATGAACCCTAATTTGGGTTTGCTGCCGCCGAATGTGTTTTCAATTATTTTTTTATTTAAAAATTATTCAATATTTATTTATGTTTCAAAATTTATTTATTTTTATTTTTTATATTAAAAACTATTTTAATGTCAATTATTTCAATAATTACATTATAGATATTATATAATATCTTATTCTGTGAATAAAGAATAAAATATTATATAGATGCACCAGTAGAGGATCTCTTCCATTGTTACGTAGGATAGGTACCATGGCTTGACAAACAAAGTCTAGAGCTATTCTATCAATTAAATTGACTAGTAGTTAGAGTAATTAATTTCACTGATTACTAATATAAGTAAATTTAATTTTTTTATTTATATTTAATAATTAACGTTTTTAATCTATATATTGATGGTTAAATACATAAAAAAAAATTTGTATAATAGTGACCGAAAAATATACCTAATTAAATAAGGAGAGAAATTTTCAATGGCGATGTTATGCGGGATTAGAAATTATTTCTACTAAACTAAGAATTCAATTTATTTGCACACCTAAAAGTTAATTGATAGTCAAATACGACAAACAAATAAATTGCATCTTAATTGATGTCTAAATAACAAATTAAATTAAAGTCAACTGAATACGAGATAATTTAATTAAAATATATGTGCAACTTATAGCTCAACTGATAGAAATTGATAAGGTTCAAATTTTAGTATTGAGAGTCTTAGTTTTTAATAGTTATATTTAATAAGTTCTCATTTTTAAAGGATCTACAAAATTTGTAAGAATGATAAATTTAGTCAAAATTTGAAATTTTTTGAATGGCTTTCTCAAATTTCAATAAAAAAAAACAAGTGTTTCATTTTTTAGATCTATGAACAGAAACAACTATTTTCACAAATAAATGGTTCGAAAAGATAATACATGTGTGGATAATAGAAACACAAATATCTTGAAACCATTTGAGACTATTTAGTTAATTTGTTGAAATAGAGTCATAAATATGGAAATAATTGGGTGGTAGAGTGGTTTTCCTTAATTATGTGGAGGATGTTATCTCATTTTTTGTTGTTGTTGTCGTCTTTTTAATGATGTCCGTAAAAGTTTAGAGGAAGTTTGTTAAGATACAAATAAAGTTCATTGGAGGGGTCAAAAGGTGCTTCAAAGATATCATGGATTCAATGGGAGGGTGTTTCCAATTCAAAGAATATGTGGTTATGTCTTGAATCAATTATATGTTAATTGATTTTCTCTTTATATTAGTCATAATCAAAATATATACATATAAGTGCTCAAAATAATATGAATGAAACTTTAATGAATATGTATAAAAGTTCATCACTATGCCAAAAAAGACCTTTAGCAGCGTTTAAAAGCGCTGCCTAAAGTGGCGCTGTTAAAGGTAAAGGCAGCGCTATTTTATAGAAAAAGCGCAGCTATAGGCCCCTTTTACCATCACTTTTAGCAGCGCTTTTTGCCCCCTTTAGCAGCGCTTTTAAAGCGCTTCCTATTCTCCCCTCCCCTCCCCCCTTTAGCAGCGCTTTTAGAAAGCGCTTCCTTATACCCCCTCTTTAGCAGCGCTTTTAGAAAGCGCTTTCTTCGACCCCCCCCCCCCCTTTAGCAGCGCTTTTAGGAAGCGCTTTCTTAGACACCCCCCCCCCCCTTAGCAGCGCTTTTAGGAAGCGCTTTCTTAGACCCTCCCCCCTTTCCCCACCTATAGCAGCGCTTTTTTGAGCGCTCTCTATGCCCCCTTTAGCAACACTTTTTTGTAAAAGCGTTGTCTATTCTTCATGTTTTTTTTTAAAAAAATTATTTAAATAATCACATTTTTTATATATTTTTCGATAAACCTGCTTATAACAAATACATTGCCTGCTTATAATTCAGACCTTTAATTCAACACTTTGGCCTTATATATACATTATAATTCAACACTTTGGCCTTAAGTATACATTGCAATTCATCACTTTGCCCATAATCATTTTAATACACATA